AATAAGTAGATCTTTTATCCTTGTGAAAATACTATTTGATAATACTGTTAAAAAAGACCTTTTTAATAAAAATATCATTAAATAATATTGGTAACAAGATATTTGTTTTTCAGTATAATTAAATTAAAAAATTGAAAATAAATTTCAAATCAAATCAAAAAATCAAAAGTAAAACAACCCAATAATCTTTATTTCCATTTTGCGTGCTTTCGCTGCGATTTTTTCAATATTGAAACAGCTCTTTTTAGCTTAACTTTTTCTTACTTTTCAGATTCTCAAAATTTTCCAAAAAAAAATTTCGTATAAAATTAATAATTTAGGACAACTTGAATCTCAAAGTTTAAAACAATTTCTGGAATTAATTTTCTTTAAGTGAACCGAGATAGTGGTTAGCGACCCTGACTGCCGTACCGAAGGGCCCGGTTCGAATCCCGGAGAAAGCATGGATGTTTATAAATGTATAGTGTCTGTGCGGCATGAGAGCAATCTAAATATTTAGCGACCTGAAAGTCCTCTCGAGAAGTTGGTGTTAGTGAAAAAGGGGTGGGAAATTCTCGGATCCGGTTTCCCCAGGGCGTTCTCCATCAAAATTGGGGGGAAGGAAACTGAGCAAAACCACACTGTCACCTGTATGGCACTCAAGACTTGCCAACGACAGGCTCAATCTTGTACTCTTTGCCGCGATGAGTTTCGCGAATTTACTTTGATATTATTCTCATACAAGTGAGATACGTCACAACAATAACACGTTTGTAACTTAATTTTCTTTGTACTTTCTGCATTATGCGATAACAATTTATAGCCCAAATGGAATGAATAATTTGTAATTTGGCCAATTGTTTCATTATTTGCAGAGAATATTTGTAAGGAATTTTAATGATAGTTTGTACAGTCATTAGGTTATTTTGAAGGAGGAAACATGAAAAAGAGCAATTTCCTCGCCCGACTCGAACCTGGACCTCACGAATACACGTTAAGTGTGCTGCCATTACACCATGAAGACCTGCAGGAACGGGAAGAGAAAATACCTTATATACTCCCCTTTTTAAACGGCGACCGGGTATGACGGGACTCAATTGCCTGATCTTAGTGGTGACAAATTATTGTCTGCCACCTATTGGTTTAGAGCCGCTGTAAGGTCATTAGGTTATTATGAAGCAGGAGACAAGAAAAATGAGCAAGTCTCGAACCCAGGCCTCTCGAATACGTGCCGAGTGGGCTATCGTTAAGCCACAAAGGCATGCTGGAAGGCCGGAGAAAATACCTTATAATACTTAGCCCTTTTTAACTATCTTCCAACTTATAAATTTTTATAAGTTGGAAGATAGTTAAAAAAACTATCTTCCAACTTATAAAAATTTGGGAAATCTGCTTAAAATTTTATTAGAATTATATTTTTTATAAATTAAAATTTGTATCTAACTATTACCTCTCGTAATAAAAGCTAACGTTCAACGATCAATCATATTTTTATCTTGATTATTTCCCTAATAAAGAATAGGTTCGAATAATTTAGAAAATTTCATGATCCTTCCGTAAAAAGGAAAGTTCAAACACTATTAAAAATTATTTCGTGATCGCTGTTCAATATTTTTATTTCACAGCGTATCAACATAAGAAACTTTCATTTTTTAATTTAAAAATAAAACTTTTATTATTCCTAAATGTAAAAGCCCAATACTAAAGATATTATTTTCTATGAAATAAAAATGATTCTCCTACCTAATTAAGAGATAACAGGACCAATAACGGTATTCAGCTGTTTTTGTCTTGAGCCGTAATCTGTATGTATGTGTGTATGTAGGAGATTAGCTTGAGGATATCTTTTTATGACATGAAATCGAAAATAAAGCAGTTTATCTCAAGTTTATGTTAAATGTGTCAGTATCTTGTTAAATGTGCAATCTTCAGTTATGTTAAAAAGTATATCCAGGTAAGTTAATCAGTAATTTTCATGTAAATTATGGAATAGATGAAAGATGAGTAATCATCCAAACGTTTCATATATAAAAAAAAAAGAAGTCATATTTTTATGTCTGTATGAATTCAGTGTAATTTAGTATATTTGTCATAAGTATTAAGAAGCCTCAAACTGTTAGGCTTTTGACTTAATAACAATAAATTAACATTTGAATGGTAATGTAACTTTCAAGTAAATTTTGTCTCCCTAGTTCATTTTAATACAAAGTTTTAAGTATTATGGGTTTTTATAATTGCATACATACAAAACAAAAAGTGCAGACTTTTTACATGAATAACGCTTATCTTTATCAATTCGGTGTAAACAAGTTAGCAGAAAAATAAACATGGCAACAGCTATCAAAAAAGGGAAAATAATCCTTACCAACACTTACTTTAAAAATAAAAAATAATAAAACTAACAATACTAATTCACAAAAGTAAAAAAGAGCGTATCTTACTATAGAATTAAAAAAAGTCATGTAAATAGGACGAGGTTAACGATCTAACCAGTTTACATAAGACTCAGAAAACGAACTAATCTTTAAGCACGGCGATACCGTTGAGAGGCATCTTCACCATTGGTATACCCCATTGTTCAACTGGGATTTTGAATTGGTTATTTTACTCAGTTTCCCCGATATCTCGTCCACTGTTTTACCACCGGCAAAGTGGCTTTGTAGGATATTTTTATTGCTCTACTTTAAATCACATACGTAAATTATTTTTCATGTATAGTTCATCAATAAACTAGAAACATAACTATTTCACTTACTTCTTTGATAGTTCTAAAATTTATATTCTAAATAGATCTGTTTTATCTTGTAACTATATACTTTAAATGCGCACGGAAACAAATCTAAATTTTATACTTAGCTCATAAAAATGAGCAACACATTCTTTCAGCCAGTTTTATTTTCTATGAGTTTATCATCATCATTATCATAATGTTTTTCGTGTTAATGTATTTAAATATTAAATAAAGTGTTAAGTTTCGTGTTATTATTTAAGTGTCCAGAAATTTAATAGTTTAGAATGCATCGGATATTTAGCCATCCCATCACTGAGAATGTTGCTCAAGAATCCCACTGTGGCGTGCGATTTTACACTCGCAAGAATGGGGGATTTTCCTCTCAATTTTGGTTCAGAAGGCCTCGTAGGACGAATCCAAGAGTCATGCACTACTTTTTCTGTCACCAAATCTCACGTCAGGACTTGACTAGCCGATATTTTAAATGCTCCCATACTGCACAAACAATATACATTTACAAATACCCAAGCCTTCTTCAAGATTCGAACGCTTGCTAAACAATATGGCAGCTAGCAGCGGAAACCATTATAATAATCAGGGCTACACTATTATCAGCAATATCATCATTCCTGCATCTAGTGCTTTGAAATTTCTCAAAATATTCCTTAATATGCATATTGAATTTCTAGAATATAAATAATCTAAACTGGGATGAAGCTTACATAGATAACTCTGTCATTTCGCAGCTGTTAATCCAGGATATTCTAATACATCGCAAAACACCAAAACCTGTACAGCGAATTTTTTTTATTTTAGATTTAATTTTCAAATCAGATATTCGAAAGAAAATAATGAATTCATAAAAAAATTAGATAAATGTTAATATAATAATAGATGCCGTCAACGGATTATCCCTAGAAAAAGAGTCAAATGATTTTCCACGGTATACGCAATACATACGTAAGAGCTATATTTTGTTACTTATGGATAAGACCCTGAGTACTGGTAGTTTGACTCTGACTTGATTCTCAGTGAGCAGGCTGTCTGCATGGAAATGTAACTCATACGAGTTAGTTCTTTTTACGAAATTAAGCAGGTAAATAATTATTTAAGTTGTTTAAAAATGGAATAAATTTTAAACCTCTAAAAAAGTGTTTTTTGTTACATTTTTAAATAGCTCGCTTTGCTACGTTGCTAAAGACTGATTAAATTCCAAAGATATATTAAACATCGCGTGGTTCGCCGAATCATTTTGCGATCAAGCTATTTATAGGGTAGCATGGAAGTCAAAGATCTTATGATACACGCAACAGAAACATTGGGCAAATCGTGTGGGTTTTAAATGCATTCATGTGCATTTTCCAGTAGCCAAACGTCTGCTAGTTATTATAAACCAAAGACATGATGATTAATGAATTGCTATTCTTCTTTTCTATGAGCTTTACCCAAATTATTAAAATCGAATGAAAATCATTAAATCCGTATTCAAATATATTAATAATATAACGAAGTATGTTTAATCAAATCTTTATGTGTTATTTAAAAATTACAATAAAAATCCCATGCAACATTTCTGGTTTAAAAAATAATAAGACTAATGTTAGAACTCTTATTACTTTTAAAGTCATAATTAATAAACATTTGAAAAGTAGAATAAAATTTCATTTAAAATTTCTAATTTCTAATACCGAAAAACATATTACTCTTTATCTGTACTACACATAAGGAGAAAAATTAAGTCAACCAGTTAATGCCGAATTTAGTTAAGATTTGAAATTCGCGAATTTTAATGCATTCTGCTTTTTGATTTGATAAAGAATTTAATTACTAGGAGAGAAAGAAAGTTATGTGTTAATTATGCAACCAGTTCCTGTCAGAGAAAAATTACTTTTTGCCACATAATATTTTTATTATTGAGATTTTTATGTTGCTCTAGAATGCAATTTAATAATTACCAGTTAATTACTTTTAAAAAATATTCAGATTTTTCTGGGAAAAATTATTTAAAAAATCGTTTCCATTGAGTAGCAAGCAATTCTCTGAAGTAATTAAAATAACTGCATGCTTAATAAAAGTCTTTAAGTAGTTAATTATAATATTTTCACGAATATATTCAATTTAGAACATTGACGAGTAAACGGTAAAATAAAATTCTCTATTTGCATTAAAACATCTGATTCCGATTTTTATTTTGTTAAGACAATAAGTTGTTTGCAAAGCTCTCTAACCCATAACTAAACAATTCAAAATTTCCATAAAAACACTACCTCAATAAAACAAAGCGTCTTACCTTGATTTCTGTAACAACCATGCCGTCTGCTCTTTCACACAGCTAAGGCCAGACTCAGTCCGTCAGGTTGACGAACACCATACCTTACAGCGCCGTCTGTGGGTGAAATCAAAGAGTTAAACTAAGGAAAAAAGAAGATGCTGACAATACGCATATTTCGTATTGGTTTCGGATGCGTGACTTGAAGTTCTCGGAAAGGTAATTTTATTTTTCAGGGATGAGTTTGAACAAAAAGAAAAAAGTTTTTATACTTTACCAAGGTAAAAAAAAGAGGAATGTTCCACCACTTTAGCGTAGATAATGATGCGTTTTTTATAAAGCATTGCGTATTTTGTTTCAAGGATATTACAACACTTTGATATTTTGTACAGTTTATTATTTTTATTATTATTTTAATCTTACGTCGTACGCGACGAGAATTTCACCTATTGGTAAAGTTTTCTGCATTGAGTGTCAAAGTTATTTTTTTAATCTCACGAGGCCACAGTATACGAACACAAGTACTGTATCATATGCTATCTATAACGCCTATATGATTTATTTTAAATACAAATTCCTTTATAGTTGTAAATGTTGTCTAACACTTTCAAAATTATTTTAAAAAATAATTTCAAGAAATAAAACTCATATGCAATTTATTCAAACAAGACAAATGAATTTACAATACATATGTAATATATATATAGAGAGAGAGATAATATATATAGATATATATCGAGAGATATATATAATATAATTGAAACAGAAATTGAAAGTTAACAAGTAATGAGACGTAAACCTATTTGTCTTAATTTTTGCGCATAATGCTGCAAAAAGATATGAAAATAGTAGGTAAAACTTGCAGCGATCTTTCTAAAAGTACCAGAGGTAACTTTTAGCAAGATCGCTGCAATGTTTCTCCTACTATTAATATATAATATATATACCAGTCAAAAGTCTTAATCCGGACTCTTCGACTTCGGCGATTCCGGATTATCGATTTTTTTCCGGATTATAGATTCACTTTAATCTGGTAAGATGGCATGCAGAAATTAAAAATTAAAAATATGAAACCGTAATTTATGAAATAAAGAACAATTATGATCTAAAACGGTATCAAAATTTACAAAAAAAAAAAGCTTAATATTTATTTGTTTACTTTTTAAACATTTCTTTCAATGTAAGTTGTTAAGTTGCTTCGTTTATGTGATAATACTTTCTTTTTAATTCTATAAACAGAAATTTCTTCTTGTTCAGTTACAAAGTTCCGCTGTTCAAGTCCTATAATTGCTGTGTCGAGAATACCGACTAATTTGTCAATCGAAATTTTTTCGTTTGCAATAACCTCTGTGTCACTTTCTTCGCTATCGGAAGCGAATTATAATGACGAGGAATTTGATTTAAATCATATCAAAGACGGAGTATATCGAGATGAAATACTACATTTAGTAAGGAATTATAAGCCAAATAAAATAAAAGCATCTGCCCTGAAGATAAGGATAGTGCTGACAGATCAACTTCTATTCATTGCGCGCCGCGGCTTTCTTTCCCCCTTTCCCCCACCCCCCGACGCAGAGCAGCGTGAAATGATAAACAGATTTCGGAATGTTTGAGAAAAAGGATGCCTTTATCCATTTTTGGCAGTAATTCCACTTTGTTATGAACTTCGAAACATACTTTCCGCTTTGTAGATCTTTTACAATATTAGAAATATATATCGGAAATTCTATTTGACATAATTAAGTCCAAGCTTACTTTTATAAAATTCTCTAACAGTCTGCAAAAAATAATAAGCCGATCCAATTCGAAGATTAAGGAACAACGCAATCTGCAACATTAACTGAATTAGATAATTTTAGCTTAGCTTATACCGTCCGTTATACATTAAACGCGCGTAAATGTATTATGCGCATGAGCACACGCGTAATCGCAGTCTTAAAGGTATTAGCGCATGCGTCTACGCGACGCATGCGCAGAAAGTTTGTAGTTTTGAGGTTTGGATTATAGATCATTCCGGATTATGGGTGTCCGAATTAACGACTTTTGACTGCATAGAGAGAGAGAGGTGTAGGTACAAAGAGGGAGAGGGATATCTAGATATAATCATAGATATAGGTATAAATATAGTTATGGTATAAGGTATTTCTCCCGCCTTCTTAGCACGCCTTCGTGCTGTAATGACCAGCACACTCGGCGCGTATTCGTGAAGCCACCCAACGCCGCTGTCAACTGATGATGAAACCGCAGCAGAAGTTAGGGAAATTCTTTTTCATCAATCTCAAGTATTAGTTATGGCTTCTTCTTCAACGTCCAACTCAGCTAAAGACCTCTGTCCAAGATTTGAAAGTCTGTCCAAGAAAGCCTATCACATTAAATATGAGAAGATCATTGGACACACAGCTTTTAAAAATAGTATGCAAAGATTATCATCTATTTATTATACTTGAAGACGTGGAATTTAGAAAGTTCGTTCCCATAGTTTGCTCGAATTTTAATTTGCCAAGTCAGAAACAGCAGTCACTGACAGCGCTTCAGATACGCAATCAACTGCTACTATTTTAAAGTTTCCACACCTGCCATGCTTTGCGCATCCATTAAACCTGATTTTGTATTACGCTATTAAGTTGTGGATACAGAAAGCTGTTGACGTAGTTAAACTGATAGTGGTTATTTTTAAAAAGCTCATTCACTTAACGCAAACTTGCTGAAATGCAGGAGAATTTAAAGAAAGATAAACTCAAATTGAAACAAAACGTACTTATTTACTAAGAATTCTACCTATGTTAGGCTAAAAAGTTTTTTTAAGAAACAAAGAACCTATAATTTCGTTCCTTGCTATATAAGGCGAAAAATCGTTTGATTTATCAGATCAAGATTGGAATATTATGAAACAGACAACAGAGGTTTTAAAAGTTTTCGGCGAGATAAAACAGGAAGTGTCATGAGAGAAAATTGTTTCGCTTTTCAAAATACGAATTTAAGTATGGTTAGTGGCCAAGTCAAATGAAAGCTTATTAGGACAGAAATAAACGCATCGGGTTGTTAAAATAAATAGCGTTGTTAACTTGTGTACTACTGAGAGGATTGTCACTCTACTGAGAGGTTTAGGCGTACCTCTAACAACCAGCTATTGACGCAGGAAATTTCCTGGATCTCCTCTTTAATAAAACAGGGCTTCGCTGATGATGTTGCAGAGGCATTAGGTATTTTTTGGACGCAGGCAAGATGAAAAATGAGCATTTGCCTTTGCCGAGAATCGAACCACAGACCTCTGGAATACAGGCCCAGCGTGCAGAACCACTATACCACGAAGGCACGCTAGGAAGGCGGGAGAAATACCTTATATATTCCCCCTTTTTAAAGGGCGACAGGGATTTTTAGGGACCCAGTCTCCAAATCCTGGGTGAGGATAATCGTCATCCAACACCCTTTTAGTTGAACGCCATTGTAGAGACATTAGGTTGCTTGGAAAAGCCGTCGAGATGAAAAATGAGCAAACGCCTTCGCCGGGAATCGAACCACGGACTTCTGGGATACCGGTCCAGCGTGCAGAACCACTACACCACGAAGGCACGCTAGGAAGGCGGGAGAAATACCTTATAATATGAAATATCGAGAACAACTATATATTTCACATTATAAGTTATAATAATAATGAAAACTTGAAGTGTGTAATATCAGACGTCCCAAATATAGCAGTCAAATCCATTTGTAACATCTACTGAGAATTCTTCCGTATGAAAGGAGTTCAATGAAACTATCTATAAACTTCAAGGAGACTCGAGATCAGTTGTGATACTGGAATTAAACAAATATTTTGCGAAGGATTATTTACCAAGAAGTAATGACCTTTCTTGCGGTGGGAGTCCTGAAAGCTAATATATCGCACGTTGCATGGCCTTAGTCTGTTGTTATTGTTGTTACTTATGCTCACTTTTCTAAGAGTAACATCAGACCAAGCCCACGAAATTTCTCGTGGCAAGGAGCGCAAGATACGTCTGCCGTTGGCAACAACCTTGAGCACCTTACAGGTGGAAGTGCGATTTAGCTCAGTTCCGCCCCCACTTTTGATGGAGAGCACCTCAGGGCAACGGGTCCGAGGGTCTCCCACTCCTTTCCTCTTCCACCTAACCACACGAGAAGACTTTCGGCTCATCGCATATTTAGAGAGCCGCCATGCCGCACCTACACTATACATTTACAAACATCCATGCCTTCTTGATAAACTTATTCTGAAACGATTATGCACCCCGGCTACTCCAATACCCTGCGATCTGATCTTTTCGAAAGCAAGCCAGATATATACTGAGAAAAGAACTGTCTCTCGTTAAGAACGTTAACTAAAATTATGTTCACAAAGAAAACCTTGATTTGTTATTATGGTAGGTATATTTTATTAAATTTTTAGAGTTAAGTATTTTTACATTGGGTTTTTGTGGTGCTGGTATTTATAATGTTTTTTATATGAGCTTTGTAGCAGTAACAAAATATCAAGTATATGATAAAATAATGTAATCTTTAACAAAGTTTAAAGTGTTAGGTTTCATTACTTTTTAACTTTTTGAGCATTTGTTTAATCCAGAATTTTATTATTTGTTCTATGTACAAAGGTGTTTTTAGGGAATCTCAAAACTACAGTTGAATGAAAATCCAGGGAGTGAGCGATTTCATTGAGTTGATTCCACCGATCCCACTCGTTGTTCGATTCTTTCTGCTTTTCTTCTGCATCTTTGCAAACCGCTCTTGATCCACTCCCGTTCCGAGGGTATTCATCAAGGTGTTAGTGAGCGGTGAATCGTAAAAAAGAATTGATTCACTTCAGCGTAAGCGTATGGTTCCGATCTGTTCCCTTAAAGGAGTGGTTTTGTCCACCACTATAATGACATGCAATTAGTTTCCGCATTTGGATTCAAAGACTTAAATTATACCTAACTGCCAAATTTTGCAAAATATGCTGAGAAACTTACGGAGAAAATGGAAAATTTATCTTGGTGCAAAGTAAAAAAAGTGCGCATATTTTCTCTTATACAATAATTCCTTTGTCGACATTCTTAATTTATTGTAACCAATTTCACTTTCGCTTTCATTGAATACGCGAGGAGAAAAAAAAAGGTGCATCCTTTAATCTTTCAAACATTTTCCTTTATATCATA